AAATAAATAAAATTGAAAAAAAAAAGTTTCTTAAGAAGCCTGTGAAAAGTCAAATAGTAATCTGTAAGACTTTTTCAGTTACTTCTTTTACAACTAAAATCTAATTAATTAATCCTTTCTTTAAACAACTAGCCCCCAGCCTAATAACATTGGCACCTATTGTAATTATAAACCCTGAATGCATTTTCTCTTTTAATTACACTTTTTAAATTCCCAATTGAAGCTGGAAAGCTTCAAATTAACTTTGAGAACACAAAATTTAAAGTCACAATCTATTGAAAGACAATTCACACACACTGTTCTCTTATGAAAACTGGTTAATAAAAATGAAGTTTGGAATTCACCTGTAAAAATCAGTTTCAGCCTGTTTGCTTTGGTGAAAGCAATGAGCATTAAAACCTCTTTCTTGTTTTAAACAAAAACAAAAACAAACAACAACAAAACAAAAACAAAAAACAAACACCTAAAAACCAAAAAGCAACTTTCTCTTGTTTCTCATTCTAACCAATTGGTTTCTCTTTCCTTCTCATTTTCCTGGACTCTAAATGTGGATGACCCTAAGCCTCAGTCCTCTGACTTCTATTTTTCTCTCTCTGCTACAGCTGATTTCATCCAGTCCCATGATTTTAAATCTCTATGCTAATGCTCCCAAAATTTACTAGGATCCATCTCCACCAGGGAGACCACTTTTCACTCCTTTCACCAATATTACCCCAACCACTGTCATGTCTAATTCAGATTATTTGCAAAGACCTTCTAACTGGTTTCCCTATTTATACCCATGTTCATCCACAGTCTATTCTCCAAACAGCAAGCAAAGTGGTCCTTTGAAAAGTAATTCCTATCCTGTCACTCCTCTGCTCAAAACTCTATAAGGTTTCCCATCTTACTTAGAGTAAACTCCTGTTCCTCACCAAGCCCCATGAGGTCTGATAGGACCGTAGCTCCTGAGTCCCACCATCTGCTCCTCCTCTCTGTTTTACCAGCTTCACTTGGCCTCCTTGGTTTTCCTCAAACACATTTTGCAGGCATCCCCCTCAGGGCCTTTGCCCTTGCACTTCCTCCTAGTTGGAAGGTTGGTCCCTCAAATCTTTCACCCTCAAAACTCCCTTATAAGGGATACTTCAAGCCACTTTGAATAAAACTCACTGCTTTGATCACTCTCTGTCCCCTCAGCTCAGCTTGACTGTCCCTCATAGTACATCATCACCTGACATATATTTATGTGCTTAATATGTTTATTGTTTGTCTTCTTCACTGGACTGTCCAATAGTAACATGCTCCCAAAAGGGCAATAACTCCATTTATCTTTTTACTGGTCTATCCCCATGGCTAAAATAGTGCCTGTTATTCAGTAAGCATTCAATAAAATATTTAAATGAGTTAAAATGTAATTTTAATAACAAAATGCAAATCATTTACAATAGGGAAAGGCTGTTGGCTGAGAAGCAAGCAAGAAAACACTGTTCATTTAACCCAGGTAAGAAGATGAGTTAGTTCATGCCAAAAAAATGAGCAAAAAACCAACTCTTTTCTCTCTAGATAGAGAGATATAGAAAGAGATAGAGATAGGGATGTATATACACACACACACACAGATGTATCCTATTGCCTAATGAATGTCCCTCTTAGGCTTATTTCTAGATAACCTCACACTTACCCTGGTACAACAAATTATAATGCTGTATCAGTCATACTGAGAATTAAGCAGTGACATTTTAGGGGAGTACACTGAAGTAATGAATGCATTGTATGTATATTTAATGTCAGCTTCTACAAGTAATTTTCAAGACTGATAGCCTATTCCCCCAGCTTCTTCTAGGCCTTCCAAATTTGAATCCCACCAGTATGTACTGTCTGTCAGTCTCACTCCTCACGCATACCGTCTTCCCCAGGAAACTGACTTGTTACCTCCTATTTCCTTTATTGCTAGATCACAAGGGTCCAAGCGTCTGCAAGATCGCTCAGTGATTCTCATGAAACCCAAAACAAGAAAATAAGAGCTCACTCTGATTTAAATATAAATGCCAGTATTCATTTGCAAGGATGTTTCAATGATCTCATTTACAAATACAATTTGAACAATGCATGTTTAACATTCTGGCATAAAGTATATAAATCAAAATATCCAAATAAAACATGAGAAGAGACTGTTTTGACTAACAACATTAACCAGAAATTATCAGATTAGATGCCAAAGTCTAAGAGATAGTGGCTGATGTGTCCCCTGAGACCGTCTGTAACATAGAGATCATAAAAATTGACTCCAATGCCGTACTCCCCCACATGACACCCTTCCCTTCCAGACGAATGAAACCTTGTAAGAGCCTATGGTTAGCTATAACAAGGCTTAACAAAGAGGTTTGCAGTACCAGAGACTTGTAAATACACTTTTGTGGAAGCATTCCCTAAATTTGAAGATTGTAGCCTTCAAAAAGGTAAAGAAATGGCTTTGAATCAGAGCAGCAGATTTACCTTCACTTTTCCAGGAGGCTTACAGCCAGAGGGTATCGAGGAAGGCATGTTTTTTCCATAAAAAATCTGGGATATCTCATAAAAGGCTTCAGAAAAAAATCTTAAATCTGTAAGGACCTGAATCTTTAAAGGAAAGAAAAAAAAATGAGATTTTAATTAAATAATTTGTTTTACTTACAAAATAAAAATTTTAGAGAAAAATCATCAACTTTCTGAGATCCAAAATTTCTACTTAATATAATTGGTAATGCCTTATAAATTAATGCTTGGTAAACACAGTGGATGGAGAAATATGTGTTTGTGTATAAGCTAGTTTACATGTGCAATGGACCAGGAAGCTAATAAACAACAGCAGGCAACTGTTCAAAACAATGGACATTTGTCAGATGTGTCTTACTTCATCAGAGCAAACACAAAAATATGACAGGCATAGAAGAGTTAAATAATTGAATTTATTTTTTGTTCCCATGGTGAACTATGGTTTAAAAGAAAAACAAAACAAAAACACTCCTGATGTTCTCTAATACTCTGAGGAAAGTCAAACCAACCAGATGAACTCTATAATGTATCAACATAGAGACAACTATTCGTTTTGTCATCCATAATTAATGCCACTGTCAGTTTTAAAGACATATCCTTAAAGTTAATCAGTTGGTAACTATAAATTGTACATGGCTTATTTTGAATATTATCCAGCAGGACTTTCAATCAGGAAATTATGGGAAGAAAAGTTCCAGAACAAAAATCATTCATTCAACATGTTTATTGGGCACTTCCACCAAGCCCTCTTGGGTGTTACAATCCTTCCCAGACGTGTATTGAGCTAATTTAAGTGATACACAAAGATATACACAGTATTACAAGGGATAAAGGCTACTGACAAAAATGCTACTTTCAGAGCTCCAGTCAAGAAGGACTTCTCTGAGAAGACATTCAAGAGAAAATTGGGGAATGACATGAAAGAGAGACATGTGAAAATCTGCTGAGAGGTCTCAAGTACAAAGGTCATGTGGCCTTTATATATATATAATAATATATATATATTATTATATATATATATAAATAATAATATATAATATATATATATATAATACAGACACATACACTTATTATCTCTTTTCCTTTAAGTACTACCATAGGAATCTTAAGAGCATATAATTTTTTTTAATTTTATTTTATTATGTTATGTTAGTTATCATACATTACATTATTAGTTTTTGATGTAGTACTCCATGATTCATTGTTTGCGTATAACACCCAGTGCTCTGTGCAATAAAGAGCATATAAATTTTAAAGAAATAAAAAGAAGGTAAGTTGGGAGGAAATAGGATGTGACGATAGCATGAAAATAAAGCATAAAAGGTTAGGAGAATATTTGCAATGGGGAAGAGAAAACTCTGCTTGTCTACTGAGTTGCACACTTTGGTTCTTGCCTAAAATACCTTGGGCTCTAATCTCCCCAGTGCCATATAATATCCAAGTAGGCATTAGTGGAGCTCTTTTAGACTTCTAGATGAACACTTTCTCATTATCCCTTGGAGGAAATGCTGTGTGAGGTTTGTCTCCGCTGATCTTGGCTGTGAGACACCTCTACACGAACTACCTGTAACCTCTAAGGCTACCTCTGTTTCCGTTTATCCTACTAATCTGGCCATTTGAAAAAGCAATGGTGATAACAATGAACATGTATTTTCAGAAATGACCAACAGTGTGAACATAAACAAGCCAGATGGATAAAAGAACTACCCTTAAACCAACCCTTCACTTGCACAAATACAGAACCATCAGTGGCCTTCCCAGGAATGCTGGATATGTTGAGACTAATAAATCTTTCAAGATGTTGGCAGTTCTAAAGTGAAGCCAGACTGGCTGATCATAAAGAGGTCTTAAAGCTTTCCCTGAAAGACACTAGTGCACAACAGAAACTTAACAGCATGATCTATTGCTGTTTGACTTGTCAGAAAGCATTGTTTGCTGTTTCCTGACTATGACTTTTCTCTCTTCCCACTCACTGACCCCGGTTTACTTCAGAAAGGTCAGGCAAACTCTACTCAAACAGGCTCTCATTTCTCCCTCTGCGTGGTGCATCAGTTGCCCTTTTTCATTGCTTCTGTCAAAACCCTGGTTGGGTGTTTCTGTTCTACTATTGCCAATAAGATGCCACTTCCGACCCACTCTGCTCCTGACACTGTTGCCACGATACATCTGATCGTGTCCTTCTTCTGACCAAGATTCTGCAATTCATCCCACCTCTCAACCCAAGGCTGCAGACTAGAGTCCACGGTTCTTCATGGGCTTTTAAGCTACCCTAGTACAAAAAGTTGCCAAGTGCTAACAATCCAATAAAACACGGTCATTTAATCAAAAACTTTGTTCCAGATTATATCTTTTAGTGCCTCTCTGGATCTCCTTCTGACACGTTACTAATGGTCACTGCAACCCTTCCTTGCTTCTCCGGCCTCTAAATGACAGACCAGAACAAAACAGCTACCCAATTCTGATTCCATAGTCTCCTCATTTCTCTCACTGTTCAGCCTCCACATTATGCCTTAGTTTGGAATTCAAGACTGGGCCCCACTGCTCATAGACATCATGGACCACAATATGGATCTCTGGTATTCTCATATTATGTTCTCCCTCCTCAAAACCTCCTCTCTGGCTTCACTGAACCACCCCTGCCCCCTTAACAAGTCCATACTGTCTCATCTCTATATGCTTCACACTATTACCTGCCAAGAATGTTCCTTTCTTCCTCTCTCCTGCTCAGTTCTGCTTTCTTCACTAAATCTTACCTACTTAGTAAAACCAAGAGACCCAAGGCCATTTTCCCTCTTTCAAACTCCAGGAGACAATGCTCATGATACTTATTTGGAAATGATCAAGAGATAGATGCACGTGTTATTGTCTTATGTATATGTCCTGTCTTTCTTCCCTTATTTTCACTTCCTTATAAGCAAGGACCATGGGTTATATTTCTTTGATTAGTTACGAACATGGTGTTTTTACATAGGAGATACTCAATAAATGTTGTTTCAGAGGTAAAGCAATAAATATTTACCAAGGATCTTCTAGATGAGTTCCCACTAAACACTATGGAAATTGTGGACAGTAGGCACTTGATAAGTGTCTATAGATTTTAAAATCAATTCAATAATTAATTACTGAGTATCAATATATGAATTTATTATTCAAGATACAATCAATAGGGGACTAAAAGATGAATAAGATTCAGGCCCTAACCTCGGGAATTTTGCAATCTTGAACAGAACACTGTTTTTAAAAAAGAGAGAGGGAAGTTATATGCAGTTTATAAAAAAGTGTTATTGGAAATCAAAAAGCAGGAGAACTCTTAAGAGTTCAGGAAGTCAGAAAGAGTGATCCAGAAATTTTCATGGCTGACAGAAAGTTATTTATTCCTCCTCTTAATAGCACCAGAATTCCTCTTAGGGAAGGTACTGTTTTTATTTAGAAATAGAATGTTATGGACTCTTTGGGTCTGAAATAATAGGCCCAAGGGCAGGGTCCAGATGGAGAGAGGAGTTCAAAGGGAAGTCTAATTTTCCCTCATAAGAAAATAGGAAAGATTTGGGGAAGGGTATCTACAAAATAGGATAAGGAGGGTTAAGCCAGTGGTGTGATGGAGCCCACTTACTCCCAATTGCAAGAGGAGATTGTCCATATCTTGTCCCGATTCCACATTCAGTAATGCCCAGTTGATAGGCTGAAGTCAGCTATAGTGGGAATATCTGCACCATGGAAACTGAAAATGCTACAAACGGGGCTTTTTTTTTAGAGTGAGGTGTGAAACACTTATCAGCACACAGCTGATTAAGCCATGGGGTGGGAGGCAAAAGCATGAGATGTTGGCTAAGAAATATTTTAAACCCAGAGATGCCAAATAGTCTATTTTAAATTGTTTGCTTTTCCTCAACTTAAATTTTCCTGTGTTCCAAATTTTCACTAAATCCAGTATGAAAATAAAGGCCTTAGGTGAATGTGTTGTGTATGTTTATGTGTAAGTGAGTGAGTGAGTGTGTGTGTGTGTGTGTGTGTGTGTGTGTGTACAGAATGTGGATTAGGACTGAACTCCATATTCAAGATGAGGAGGTGCAGAACAGGGAGCAAATCTGCTGGATGTTGAGATGATCCACGTGCAAAAGGAATTCAACAGAAGTGAGAGACTGTGACCATAGCTAACTAGGAAAAGGGCAGAGAAAATGAGGTGCTTGAGGTTCCCAGTCCACATGGGGTTCAAGCCAACTGTACATGGATCTTGAAGACAGAGAGCCTCACCTGACTTCTAGGTTACAGAATTAGTTATAATTCAGCATCTGTGTGTTTTGTCACTTCAATTGCCTGTACAATGAAAACTTCTCACATATTATGATATACATAAAGACCCTTAGCAAAAAGTTCACAGGAACTTCAGAAAACAGACTCATTAGTTTCCACCAGGAAACCAACATTCCAGAAGAGGTGATTTCCAGGCTGACTGATGTTGAACGAGCCTTGTTCCCACATGTCACTGTTCCTCACTTTACTGTGGCCCAAGCATAAAACGAGCTAACGATTCTAACTAGCTCCCTCTCATACTTTATTATAATAATGGGCATGTTTTTTTAATATCAGCACAACACCATATTATTATCAGCTTATTATTATGAGTATGAGAACCAAATTAATTTATGACAGTATCTTTACAGTTCAAGAATATCAAACATCTTAAAAGTTTGTCACATACCTTGAGGATCCTTGCTTCTAGATTTCTGATGAGGTCTTGGCAAATTCCAGACACAAAATATTCATACAATGCAAGGAGAGGCAGAATCTACCAATGCGAAAAACATTTTTTTAATCTAAAACATGTTTTATCAAGTTAATAACCTAATAATAAAATGTAGCCAAATATTAATGTGGGAGATGTTACGTAAAACAGCAATTGATTCTGCCATGCTAAGAGACTATACTGTTTAGCTAAGTGAAATGATCTGCCTAGCATATGCTTCGTAATTTTATGAGAACTTAAAAGTGCCATCAGGGGGACTTGTAGATGCCACCTGGTACCCACACCTAGGTTTCAAATCCCTTCAAGCATGGAAGAGTGAAAATCCAATCAATTATCTTCCTTGAAAAAAATTAAACATATATGTATGAATCACTGAGGCCTATAGAAACATTCTAGCAAATGAGCTATCAAATAACTGCAAAATTTAAAGCAAAGGAACTCCCATCCATGTTACCTACTCAGTCATGGAAGCTGCTATTTGTTTTCAACTGGAATATCTCTATCAGCAAAAGAATATTTAGAACATGCTCATTATGTATCAGGCACTGTTGAATGACAACAAAATCTAATGAGTCCTTGCTTTCACAGAGCACATATTCTATTGATGACCCAAGCTTACTCTTCACATAGTATTTTTATTTTCCTAAAATTAACCCCCAAAGTTCAACTCCTCTTGAAATCTCGTGGATATGGGTGAAGGCATACAAACTATCCATACTGCAGTTGATCCAACCACTATCCGGCCAGAGTCAGGTGTTGAGGGGATAGGTGTTTGCCTAGAATTCTGAACAGTTTCTGATCTCAACTGAAAACCCAATTTTGGTTCCTACAACTGGGCCCTTCTCTACTAAAGGGAGATAGAGCAAGGAAGAGTATTGGGATCCCCATTATTTAGTAAATGATTTCCCATGATTCCACAGCAATGGGTCTCCCAGCAAGTTCTGTATGTGACAGCAGTCTCCTTACCCACTGGGCTTCTTCTGGAGGGTAGTGTGATACAAAATGGAAACTGTTTACATCTTGCAAGTTCAGCTAAGGAACCTCTAATTGTCAGTCAACTGGCAGCTACTAATAGCAACAGCTTTTTAAACGGTTTAGAACTGGTCTTAAATGATTTCAAATATAGCATATTTTTCTACAATTATGTACTACAACATAACACAGTATCTTTTTCTACAATTAATGCAGCACAAAACAATAAGAGTTGGCTATTACCTTTGAGATTGTTTCTTTTCTTTAGTGAGAAATAAAAACACACCACTTTATTGCTGCCAATTGCTCAATTATTCAGAAAAATGTTCTCAATTTCTTAAGCTTCAGAGAAAAAAAGTCTCATTTCTTTTCCAGTGCAGTGATATGTATTATATATGAATATGACTAGGCAGCTAAAGGTTACCCAGAGGATAGAACTATTTTCTAAATCCAGAAATGAATCCCCTTAACAATGAGAGGAGTACCATTTTGTTATCTTTTCCTAATAAAAAATTTCTTGCCAAATATGCCAAGTGTTAAAAGCATTTATCAATCTCTTCACTTTAACACATGGCTTTATAATTTAACAACTCATATCAGGGGACAATAAATCTTTTAAATATAAAGAGAGAGTGAATTTAGAACAACAGAAAATAAAATAATATATGAGGGGAAAAAGAAAGTAGGTATGAAAATTATGGGGAAAAAAGGAAAGAACCAAAAAAAGAAAGAATAGGTATTAAGAAGCAAATATGGTGGGGGAGAGATACAAATGTAGAAGAAACAACATATAGGAAGAAAATAGGAAAACAGGAAATAAATAGGAAAAATAAAATAAAGGAGAAAAATATAAAATGACCAGAACATACTGATTTATTTTTTAAAAGCAACCAACTTCAAATTTATGACATATACTATGATTTATTTCCCCAAAGGAAGAGAATTATATGAGGTTTTGAATGTCCTTGGATATTAAGAAGTATTTGTCTTTCATTTCACAGTTTGAATCTGTTGTTCACTTAGAACAGGGAGAAGACAAGAGACCAAAGATCAATTTATCTCCACAAAGAAATACTCTCATAGTTTGGGTACTGATATGGCCTGCACGAGTTAATGCAGTGAGTTACATGTGCACTAGGTTCCTCTGTTTGAGACCAGGGAAATATTCTAATCAATTTCCCCAATTGTCTTAAGAAGGAAGAAAAGAGATAAAGTAATAGAGTAAAAAGGGAACAAAATCAAACAGACATTGACTTTGTATCCAAAATGCAGTGCAAATAACAATGTCAAAGAAGGAATATTAATTAATATATTTTATTTTGCAGTACAGGTAAGAATCCTGAATCTAGAGTTTAAGAGTTAAACAAGACCAGCCAAGAGAACATTAGCAAAATTTGAAAGGTTTAAGGTAAGGCAAAAATACCACAGTGAATTAAAATTTGTTGATTTTACAAATAACTTACTATTAGATTTTGCTTAGCATAGTGTAGTTCACGTATAATGTAATACAGACTTGCGACTACAGAGCAAATGTCAGCCCTGTATCTGTCTGAGAAGAGCTCGATGCCTGGGAGAAGCTGACTGATTTCATACTGAGCATAGCAACGTTCAGCTTTGGGGTGTGGAAGTGTGGTTCTAAGCAAACCCTGAAAATGAAAACAGGTGAAATGAAGAGCTATAAATTGTATTTGCAACACTGAAACAAAAAGATAAGTATACGTATTACTTCCTAAAGTGCTTAGCATAAGCCTAGCACACTGTACCTTGTAATAAATGGTACTTATCATTAACATTATCATCATTATAGTTCCAAATGCTTCCATCATCACTCAAGATGGGCTTTTTAAATTCCATGGTAGTTGGATACTTATTATTTTCAGATGAAATTATCATTATATTATCATTTGTTGGAGTCAATTTTGTGTTGGACACTATTGGTAAATTCTTTATAAACACTACCTCATTTAATCCTCATTTAACCTACCTCTAGAAGGAAGGATTATTACCTCACAAATGATATAATTGAGGCTTAAACAATTAACTTATATGAGGTCACAGAGCTAATGGTGGAAGAAAGAAGATTCGAAGTCACATCTATTTAAATAAATAAAAAAAAATCTATGTTCTTTCCACTATACCAACCTATAAGTTAACAAATGATTTCAGAGATAAAAGATGATTTCAGAAGTCTAAATCAAGCAGAGTTAATTCTGAATTTTTAACTGAATTAAGTAAAAAGATGAGTTGTTTAATTCTGCCAATATTTCTTAGGTAATTTATATGACCAACACTGTATTCGATGTTGGGAAACAAAACTGACACACAAAATCAAATTTTACATTTAGGAGTGTTTCTGATGTTATCCTAAATAATTAACATTAACTGATGACATGTAATACAAAATTATTTTAATGTATATATCAGAAAAGAATTTTAATCAGATTGTTCATTAAAGTTATAAAGTACCTACTCTAAAATACTATGTAGCACTTGTTTAAATTTTTAATTTTACAAATCTGCTTTAAAATCATAAAAAAATTAAGATTTTTAAAATAAATCTTACCAGCTTTTATTTTAGGTGCAGTATTACTAAAAAATTATGCCCACAGTAAGCAAAAATTTAATTTTTTAAATTGCTTATTTTCTAAAACAACAGCATTATCTTCAAGAACAAGGAGTATCAGACAGTAAAGAATGCAATATAAGGAGTCAGTATCAGATTATTGTGCCCTTTGCACTCTTGCCTCCTCCACCTCCTCTCTTTAAAGCACAGGCAAGAGGTGCATGGAGCATAAGAAAACTGAAAAGTCTGGCCTTACATCCAGACAAGGCTTTCCAGAGAGCTTATCTATCTAGATTTCATAAGCTATCAGAGGCCTCTGATACACAGAACAAGCATGTCCACCCTTCAAGGTAAATAGAACCTTTAGTAGAGTGCAAAGGCCCCTGGCTACCTCCCTGTATCTCAAAATATCTTATATTTCAGATAAAAGCTCTTTTCTTCTTCAATGAAGTCAAACCAAAATTCTAAGAGCTGCCAACACTCTCTACTTCTGTAGTCTTCAACTTATTTCTTGCTTTCATTATATGGTATACTTCACATTGTGCAATCGAGCAAAACTTTATTTAGAGATGAGATAACCTAAGGCCACCATTTGGAGTTAAACAGACTGGCTTCACAGCTCATTAGCAACAGTCTTACTAATGATGAGAGACTCAGTTTCCTTATCTGCAAACCTCCTTCCAGAGTCTAAAGGAGAAAGAGATTCTGCTGAATAGTCAAGGTAAAAATGCCACCTTCAGCTAGTGAAGGAAAGATGGACTCATGATATCTCATCAAGGTCCGTGCTATCTTCCTACCTATGAGTTTTTTGACTACGATAAACCACTTTTTTTTTTCTGACTGAATGGTCACTACTGTCAGAAGATACACATAAAGTGTTACCTGAAAGAGTAATGCAGACAAAATGCAACAGTTGGTTCTCTTGTCAACCTCCAAGATCATAATAAATCTAAATAAGTATAACAAAAAAGAAATGGATTCATGGACAATTTTCCAATAATACTTTTATATAAATACATCTATATAAATACATCTATATACATACATACATATATAAATACATACATATAAACACTCATAGATTTTCCAAAATTAAAATAGACTTTGTGATTCTAAAAGTGCTACATGCTTATATAAGATCTAGAACACACAAAAAACATAAAACACAAAATGAAATATCACCGATAAGCCTACCACCTAAACATGATTACTGGTAACATTTTGGCTAATTTCCCTCTAGATTTTTTTCCATATATAGAAAATTTTTAATTTTCTCTACATATCAAGATACTATGCATGTTTTTGCCCACCACACCCTATAGATAAGGGGAAAATGTACCTGGAAAGGTGAAAGAAAACTGTACCTCTACTCCTTCCATACTTTTTAAATTTCTCACATTACTCAAGTCTTTAAGATATCTGTCAGTGCTAACTAGGTATAAGACACTGTTCCATTGATCTGTGTGTCTGTTTTTGTGCCAGTACCAAACTGTCTTGCTGATGACAGCTTTGTAATCGAGCTTGAAGTCCGGCATTGTGATGCCACTAGGTTTGGTTTTCTTTTTCAACATTCCTTTGGCTATTCGGGGTCTTTTCTGGTTCCATACAAATTTTAGGATTATTTGTTCCAGCTCTGTGAAAAAAGTTGGTGATATTTTGATAGGGATTACACTGAATGTATAGATTGCCCTAGGTAGCATAGACATTTTAACAATATATGTGTTTCCAATTCATCAGCATGGAATGTTTTTTCCATTTCTTTGTGTCTTCCTCAATTTCTTTCATGAGTATTCTAGTTTCTGAATACAGATCTTATACCTCCTTGGTTAGGTTTATTCCTAGGTATCTTATGGTTTTTGATGCAATTATAAATGGGATCAACTCCTTAATTTCTCTTTCTGTCTCATTGTTAGTGTATAGAAATGCAACTGATTTCTGTGCATTGATTTTATATCCTGCCACTTTGCTAAATTGCTGTATGAGTTCTAGTAATTTGGGGGTGGAGTCTTTTGGGTTTTTCACATAAAGTATCATGTCATCTGTGAAGAGTGAGTTTGACTTCTTCTTTGCCAATCTGAATGCCTTTCATTTATTTTTGTTGTCTGATTGCTGAGGCTAGGACTTCTAGTACTATGTTGAACAACAGTGGTGACAGTGGACATCCATGCCATGTTCCTGACCTTAGGGGAAAAGCTCTCAGTTTTCCCCATTGAGAATGATATTTGCTATGGGCCTTTCATATATGGTTTTTTGATATTGAGGTATGTTCCCTCTATCCCTACACTGTGAAGAGTTTTAATCAAGAAAGGATGCTGTATTTTGTCAAATGCTTTTTCTGCATCTATTGAGAGGATCATATGGTTCTTGTCCTTTCTTCTTTTAATGTAGTGTATCACATTGATTGATTTGCAGATGTTGAACCAGTTCACCCTTGCAGCCCAGGAATAAATCCCACTTGGTCGTGGTGAATAATCCTTTTAATGTACTGTTGGATTCTACTGGCTAGTATCTTGGTGAGAATTTTGGCATCCATGTTCATTAGGGATATTGGTCTGTAATTCTCCTTTTTGGTGGGTTCTTTGTCTGGCTTTGGAATCAAGGTAATGCTGGCCTCATAGAATGAGTTGGAAGTTTTCCTTCCATTTCTATTTTTTGAAACAGCTTCAGAATAATAGGTATTAGTTCTTCTTTAAATGCTTGGTAGCACTCCCCTGGGAAGCCATCTGGCCCTGGACTCTTGTTTGATGGGAGATTTTTGATTACTGCTTCAATTTCCTTGCTGGTTATGGTTCTGTTCAGGTTTTCTATTTCTTCCTGTTTTAGTTTTGATAGTTTATACGTTTCTAGGGATGCATCCATTTCTTCCAGATTGCCTAATTTGTTGGCATATAGTTGCTCATAATATGTTTTTCTAACTGTTTGTATTTCTTCAGTGTTGGTTGTGATCTCTCCTCTTTCATTAATGATTATATTCATTTGGGCCATTTCTCTTTTCTTTTTGATAAGTCTGGCCAGGGGTTTTCAATCTTATTAATTCTTTCGAAGAACCAACTCCTAGTTTCATTGATCTGTTCTATGTTCCTTTGGTTTCTGTTTCACTGATTTCTGTTCTAATCTTGATTCTCTTCTACTGTTGGGTTTAGGCTTTATTTGCTGTTCGTTCTCCAGCTCCCTTAGGTGTAAGGTTAGGTTGTGTATTTGAGACCTTCTTATTTCTCTTAGGACTGACACACAGGTCAATAGAACAGAATAGAGACCCCAGAATGGACCTTCAACTCTGGTCAACTAATCTTTGACAAAGCAGGAAAGAATATCCAATGGAAAAAAGACAGTCTCTTCAACAAATGGTGTTGGAAAAATTGGACAGCCACATACAGAAGAATGAAACTGGACCATTTTATTACACCATACACAAAAATAGACTCAAAATGGATTAAAGACCTAATTGAGTGACAAGAATCCATCAAAGCCTATAGGAGAACACAGGCAGCAACCTCTGTGACCTCAGCCACAGCAACCTCTTGCTAGACACATCTCCAAAGGCAAGGGAAACAAAGGTAAAAATGAACTATTGGGACTTCATCAAGATAAAAAGCTTCTGCACAGCAAAGGACACAGTCGACAAAACCAAAAGACCACTGACAGAATGGGGGAAGATATCTGTCTTATCAGATAAAGGGCTCTTATCCAAAATCTATAAAGAACTTACCAAACTCAACACCCAAAGAACAAATAATCCAATCAAGAAATGGGCAGAAGACATGAACAGATATTTCTGCAAAGAAAACATACAAATAGCCAAAAGACACATGAAAAATGCTCCACATCACAATACAAATCAAAGCCACAGTGAGATACCACCTCACACCAGTGAGAATGGCTAAAATTAACAAGTCAGGAAATGACAGATGTTGGCAAGGATGTGGAGAAAGGGGAACCCTCCTACACTGTTGGTGGGAATGAAAGCTTGTACAGCCACTCTGGAAAACAGTAGGGAGGTTCCTCAAAAAGTTAAAAATAGAGCTACACCCTACGATCCAGCAATTGCACTAGTAGGTATTTGCCCCAAAGATACAAATGTAGTGATCCAAAGGGGCGCCTGCACCCCAGTGTTTATAGCAGCAATGTCCACAATAGCCAAAGTATGGAAAAAGTAGAGATGTCCATCAACAGATTAATGGATAAAGAAGATGTGGTATACACACACACACACACACACACAATGGAATACTACTCAGCCATCAAAAAAATGAAATCTTGCCATTTGCAATGACACGGATGGAACTAGAAGTTATTATGCTAAGCGAAATAAGTCAATCAGAGAAAGACAATTATCATATGATCTCATTCGTATGTGAAATTTAAGAAACAGAACAGAGGATCATAGGGGAAGAGAGGGAAAAATAAAACAAGACAAGCTAGAAAAGACCAGGAAAGAGATTCTTCCCTAGAGCCTTCAGAGGACAGTACAACCCTCCCAAGGCACTGATTTTAGGACTTCTGACCCCCCAAGCTGTAAGATAATAAATCTGTGTTGTTTTAAGCCATAAATTTTGTGGTAATTTGTTACAGAACTAGGAAACTAATCAGTATGCATTATGACCTAAATTATGCACCCACCCAAATTCATATGTTGGAGTCCTAACGCCCAATACCATCAGAATGTGACTAAGATGGGGCCTTTAAAGATGCAATTAGGTTATAATGAGGTTACTAGGGTGGGCCCTAATCCAACATGACTGATGTCCTTTTAAGAAGAGGAGATTAGGCCACAGACATGCACGGAGGGAAGACCACATAAGGACACAGCAGGAAGACAGCCATTTACAAGGAGAGGCCTCAAAAGAAACCAAATCTGCCAACACCCTTATCTAAGAATTCAAGCCTCCAGAAACTGTGAGACAATAAATTCCCTACCAACTGGTCATTTGTTATGGCAACCCTAGCAAACTAATATAGTATGTCATGTAATTCTTGCCACCACAGTTTACAGATGAGAACACTGAGGCTCAGAGAGAATGAGCAGTGAGCCAAGGGTCCCAGAGTCAGTAGGAGATCCTCGAATTAGGCCCAGGTTGGCCTGCCTCCACACCATTATTCTTGATCCCATACCAACTGTTCACTCACTCATTCGTTCATTCCACAAGTAGTAATTAAATGCCAACTCCATGCTAGACACTCAGGATACACTGGTGAACAAGCAAAGATTTGTGCCCATGTTGAGGCCCACATCCGGGGGTGGGGGTATAGGGAGAGGAGACGGCCATAGATAACAAACATCTCAAATAAGTAAACTGTATAGTTTTGTATGATATGGACATAGCTGTCCAAGAATCCCATGCGTCTGAGGCATGGCGCTCTACATGGCACAGTGGGAAGCTCACTCCATTGCCACACTCACTGTGCTATCTTTGCTGATATGACTGCTCCTTGCAAACATCCCCAAATGCCAACTTTTGACAGAAATTCCTCACTATAATCTTTGGAACCTGGAGGTGAATAGCTGTTGGTGGCATTGGTGAGCAAGGTACCAAACTCTTTCCACGTATACAGCACATCTTCTTTTTTGAATATGTCATCAAGAGCTTGACACCAACATCTAAAAGCAGCCCTAAAAGAGAAACAAAGCATCAGCAGCATGTTTTTCAAGATCGATGTTATTAAATCTATCTTCCAAAAGAGGAAGCAAATGCACTGAAGTATTTTAATTGAAATGTTAGAGAATGAATCTGTACCATTTATTGCTCATAACTGTTTCTCTCAGGTAGCATTTGGTGAATAAAATGTAGCAATGGAATATTATCGAAGAACTAAAATTTATGAAAGACAATTTTTTCATAATACTTAAAAATGCTTTCCGACAAGCAACTAAAAAAAGTTTTCCCTTGTTCCATTGACTCCTAAAAATCTACCTTTTCTTTCCGGCAAAGACGAGAAGGCTTCCGAGTTCATGCAATGCCTGAACTTTGAGACTTCTTTGATGGCTGACTTGGAGAACATCTGTATTTTAGTCAAGTAGAAGAACAAATGTCAGTTCACAGAAAATATCTTCCTCATACTCTCAAGAATATTTAAACTGCATCATTCCTTAACTGTGTAGATAAGCAAACTGCAACTAATACTGCCTTCACAGGTCTCCTGATACATATACAGAAAGAGAGCAAATGATATTCTACCTGAACATAGTGGAGGAAGAGATTGGATCTAAGAGATAGGAAATGTGGAGAGAGTGGAATAAGAGTCAGGCAGGGGGAGGTGGTGTCCAAGAGAAATTCAGAAGAGGCATGCTAGGGAGAAAGGGCGGGTGTATATGGACATGACATGGGTGGCTGGACTATGGTTTTCTTGGGAGTGTGAAGAAGGAGATAGTGGTAGGGTTATGGAGGCGTCTAAGTGCCTGGTGGAAAAATGTGGACGTTATTCTATAGCAGATGGGAAGCCTCAAAGCATTTGATGGGATGAGATCAGAGCTTATCAGATTTTTCCTTTACCCAAATGCAAAAAGAAGCACATCTTTAACAGCAACTGAGGTTTTGTTTTGTTTTGTTTTTGTTTTCTGATAAATGCATAAATTCAGAGATGTCTAGCAAAAACAAAACAAAACAAAACCTAACCAACAAGGCAGTGGTTTTGAATGAGGGCAGTCCTGACTCCTACAGGGTATTTTAGAAATCTGAGGAAGCTTTTGTTAGTTGTCACAATGGGGCATCTCCTGGCATTTTGTCCAGAGACACTGGATGGCCTGTAACACACAGAAGCTTCCCCTACAGTGAAGAAAAAGGCAAGAAACCTGTTTATAATTGCCTGAGTCTAACCTCTAACTTCATTTTACATACAAATAGGGCATTTTTGCATGTTTTCAAAATTCTCTGAATTTTCCAGAAATGCAACCACTCACTGTAGTGCTTTATTGTATACTGCACCTAGATTTATTTGTCATTTTAGAAAAACACTGTCACTAAAATTAACAGTGCTGATAGTACTTGCGTCACCAATACAATAAAGCTGTTTCAGTCTGTATTTGTAGCTATAACGTTCGTGGTGATTCAACACACAGGTTATGAGCATCCTGCTTCACTAGACTCTCTAGTGCCTCAGCACTTAAGTGCCACAAATAGATTGTTTGGTTATAAAATAATATTATTTATCTTTATTTTATATTTAGAGCTTCATATTTATTGTATTAAATAATGTGTGTAGAGAGACTATATTAAGTATACATTTTATTTCAGGGAGTAAAAGGGGGAATTATTAAATGTCTTTTATAAAAAAAGGGGGATGTTGGGTCTACAACACGGATTGAGTATATACTGCTGAATTTGTAGAAAAGCCAAATCAAACAGAAAGACAAGGAAAGTGGGATCAGCTAGGGCAGAGCAAAAGAACACAACAGTGGCCACATTCCAACAAGGGGTTCACAGATTCATTCAAAGGAGGATGAGCAGAAGAGGGGCCTAGAACCTCACCATGCTGACAGCCCAGGCTGGGAGAGTGGAGACTGAGAGGGGCTGGAAGGCTCTTGTCCCAAAACTGCTCTGGCCCTGCCTACAAGATTCTAAGTTCAAGCTCTTTCATCTAACTTTTCAAGGTGGCATTTCAGGCCCAAAGGCAATCTCAACATTAATGTGCAAGATCCTCCTGAAAATGAATATATAATGAATGAATCTTACCAATGGTTTCATAATAAGAGGAAATTACGAGTCCCAATTGCGAATTGGGAAGTTTACTTTTCTCCACTGAACTGAAAACTCTGAAGTGTTCCTGAGAGAGGTTGGGCGGTGTTGGCATATGCATCTCTTCTGTCCCCAGGCAAAATTCCACCTTTCCAGTAGTAAATTTCGAATTGTTTATTCCTCCTTTATCTCCTAAATTCATGGGGGAAAAAAAAATTTATTTATTTACTTACTTTTGTTAGAGAGAGAGAGCACAAGAGCTAGCGGGGCGGGGGGGGGGGGGGGGGCAGAGGGAGAGAGAGAATCTTGAGCAGGCTCCGCAACCAACGTGGAGCCTGACACAGGGCTCTATCTCTCAACCCTGAAATCATGACCTGAGCCAAAATCAATAGTTGGATGTTTAACCGACTGAGTTTAGCCACCCAGGCACCCCAAAAAAGAAATTTACAAAGGAGATAGAAGGGGAAGTGATGAGGAGGGAAAAAGTAGAAGAAATGGGCAGAGAGGAAAAAGAAAAATTCTGTGTATAGCTGAGATTTCTTTGCAGTTTGAGGGACACTGTTTCCTTAAATTTAGTATCTAATATCATTCCTGAGGAGCTCAGGTACGTGTGTATGGGCTCTCTACCTGTTATTTCATAAAGAACACTACAGAGGGGCAGTGTGCCAGAAAGTAATGTTGAGATAATGCTTTGCTTCTTGTGGGGATTCTGGAAGTTACATGGTTTGGGTTTGCTTTTTTTTAAGGGCTTCCAACAGTAAGATGTTAGTCTGCCTCTGGGGCAGAGACCTCTGGGGTAGAAGCAACCCACAGTTAGTTCTGACCTAAGGGCGAGAAAGTGGGAAAGAATCGCTCTCTTTATAAGATCAGAGAACACACAAGAAAAAAAGGAAAACTGTTCTAGGGGAAGTAGTCAAAAGCTGCAGAGGAAGAGAAGCTATTGTGGAGTTTGAAGTCTGCAGCCCAAGGACTGGGGATAAACTGCTGAGAATATTTTAATACCAGGTGAGATTCAGGGTGAACCAGTGTAATCCATTCTTGGGAATTATATTTGCTTTTTTTATTCATGCCCTTAACCATTATTAATATATGCCATAATTGAAAGAAGTTTAAACATAACACAGAGAGCTAATTTAATATAATGTGAGTCTATAGGCAATACAACCAAAATCTGTGGGTACATGGCATAGCCAGCGGTTTTTTGGGGTGAGCAGGGGCAGCAACAACAACAAATACTTACATCCATATATACATACATAAATAAAACTTTTGTCAGTGATTGTAAAAACAAGATTTGATCAGATTTCTGAAAGATCAGTTCAGTGAGTATTAGTATCTTAGGTTTACATTTAAATCTATTTTTAATAACTTTAAAATATAATTACCTTAAGTTTTTAAATTTAAGTTTATTCTTTAAGCTTATTTTTATTATTCCAATAAATTTGAATAGCAAGGATCATAAACATATATTAGGATTTTAAACAAATTTTTAATAACCCAAACATACATAAGTCAAGATTTTTCCCCACCTAAATTTGAGTATATTCTTTCTCTCTGGGGCTACCACTTAACCACTCAAAGCCCTGCTTTGATTGAATTCACAGATCAATAAATGCTGAGAAGGGAGAAAACAAATAAATGTGATGTAACCAATGATACTGAATATCTTGTTTTAAGCTAAAAGAAATCTCTAAGATCAAAATCTATGGTATTAATAAGAAATCTTGTTGATGCTTAAATTAAAATGCATCTATTTCCTTGACACTAATAAAGTAGGGTTGTGGTAATAGGTTCTAGTTAATTCAGTGGGAATCAAGTCATCTACTTATGAAAATTTTTTTAAAAAGACTATAGCACCATACTTGCAAAGAGATAGGTAAGAACATAGATGTACAGAACCCAAAAAAATACCGTTTCTATATCTACTCAAGGGAGTATGCTCATTTCACAGGAAGCATAAAAGCAGATGAGTGAGACAGTCTTTGGCTGGAATGAGGTGTGTGAGAGAGAAGATGTGATCCACTAGACAAGAAGAAGAAAGTGAAGGGCAGCAGGGAATGGGCATGTTGGTGGGGAAAGAAGGGACCTATGGCGGAATATGGTAGGTCCACAGGGTGGTGTCCTGTAAAGAGCAAGGGATATAGAGCAAGTATTTTACCTTGTGTCTGTGCAAGGAATAACGAAAGTAACTTTCTGCTGTGTCGGACTGATCTGTTATGATATCTGGATTTTTCCAGGGTCTCTCTAAAACACCTCAAAGTGTCTGTCACATCCACAGGCACACAGACGAGCTCTTTGGCGTGGCTGTATTCTGAAAGGAAAGAGAAGCGTACCGAGGGATGAAATGCTGCAGCAAGCCAACTAGTAGCAAAAGATTTTTTAATTCAGAGAATTTCTTGGTCCCAAACTAAAGCTGCTAAATTCAAAGCCCTGAGGTTTGCAGCAGGTGTTTCAACGTTCAGATCAAATTTTTGTGGTATATTTGAAAGTTCTTTAAAAAAAAAAAAACTTAGAAAACTCTTGATTCCTATGAAATGCAAATAACTTTAGATCTTGCCAATTTTCCTTATGAAGCCTCCTACTTTTTCTTTTGCTGATCATAAAAGATGAAATAATCTACTCCTTTTCAGCAGCCTCTTCAAAGCAGAGGTGCCTTGGGAAAGAGACGAAAGGAGGAAACAAAGAGGCCTGGGTGGGTAAGTGCTCTCTTAAGAGAAGGGGAAGACGGGTTTCTAATATTGGAGGATGCAGAGGAAAGAAAGATGAGGCCATAAAAGGGAGTGGAACTAAAAACAGTCCTGAAAAAAATGGGCGGAAAGAGGAAATGTTGGCAGAGGGTGACCTCGAGGTCCCTTGAGCCAGGCTGCAGATTTTTGGCCACACACCATGAAACAGTGCACAAGAGAGAAGGAATTCAAGCTTCAGATAATACAGATAAAATAACATGGAATTTACTTCTTCAACAAGTTGAACAGGTGAATGGCCCCTATGAAATCTGAGGCCTTGAGAGTAGTACAGCAACTTGCGAGGGAACGGGGCCACAGGAGGCGAAGAGGCGTGACCTTTGCCCTCGAGAGTTCACAGTCTAGCTGAAGAGATGAAGCATTCTGACCCTGGGGTATTAAACTCTCATTCACAGAGCGTTTCTGGTTCTGTCCGAGATGAGGGCGAGAGAAGTGAGAGATCAGCAAGAGGGAGGAAAGGAAGTGCAAGAAAGACTTCGTGCCAGAGGACACGCCAGTTGTGTCTTAGAAGAGAGGGAAGATTTGATTAGGAAGAAGGAGGCAAGAGGTTTAAGACAGAATAAGAATAGCTGACATTGACTGAGTACTTACACTATACCAGGAACTATTCTATATAATTTACTGTGATGATCTCATCAGATCCTAAAAACAACATAAAAGGTATGTACCGTTATATCCTCATTTTACAGATGAGGAGATTAAGGCATAGAGAAGTCTGTGGTTTCTCTTGAGTCACAGAGCTAGTTTGTGCAAGGAGAGGTATGGAAGCAGGAGTCAGGGGCGCAGTTTGGGGCACAGTGTGATGTCACGGCCAGTCCCATTGAACAAAGAGGGGTTTTACAGAGACCCGAAGCCCTCGCTGAGAAAGTCACTTTCATCCTTTCCAATAGGGAGCACAGGAAGGGTCTTGAGCAGGGCACGAGTATTTTAGGAAGAGTTAGCAGACTGCAACAGAAAGAGGTTGGTGGCTGAGAGAACAACACTGATATTGTGATTTGAACTCAACTAAGATGGTAGCAATGGGAATGAGGGAGGGATGCAGGGAACATTCCAATGTTGGAAGTGGCAGAAGAGTGGTTAATTGGTTACATGGCAAAGAAAAAAGGGGGGTGGGAATTACTTCTTCCCTGTCCTTCCAGGGCCAATGACCTTGTGTCCCATCTCGCTGGAAAAAAATCCAAGCAATCCAAAATATCTTCTGCAAACCCCCACCAGGGGTTCATGTTGGTCTAGAACATTCTTCCCTCAGATATCCCCATGCCCTTGCTTCCTCAGCTCCTTAAGGTTACTGCTTAACTTAATTTCTCAGGAGGCCTCCCTTGATCACTGTATTTAAATTGGTGATCCTGGTTTCCCAACTTCTCTCTTCTCCATTGCATTCGTCATCTTCTGATGTACTATGTGTTTTGTTTGTTTATAGGTTGCCTCTTGCCACTAGAATGCAAGTTCCACGAGGGCAGGGAGATTGTCCAGCATCAATTTTGTCTGCTGCTATCAACCCAGACCTATAACAATGCCTGTTACATGGTTTGTGCTCAGTAAGTATTTCTTAAATGAATGAATGACAAGTTCTCAAAGCTAAATGGCTGGGATAAACTTGATTAATAATCACTTATATAGATCTTAATCTCAGTTAATTCTTATAGCACCTTACCAACTAGTAGGGGTGGATGTTACTCACACTTTACAAAAGAGGAAAAGTGAGGACATTAACTTGTTTTAAGCCCTTATAAGACAAGAGAGACAACCAGTGTTCAAGTCCAGTGCCTTTCCCAGATAGTTGGCCAGAGGGCATCACATCTTGGGTAACTGGCAATAAGCCAGATTTGAGGCCTGCTAATTTGAGTACAGAGACCTTTGAGACTAGGACAGAAATGAGAGAAGCAGCCTGGGGTCCACAGGGAGGTCCTAATGGAATTAGTGCACAGTTACATTTTATGGCCATAGAGACATCTTTCAATCTACTACAACGCAGATTGAAATGTCTAGAAATCCTGGAGGCTCTAGTCAAACCAGGTACATGGCCATGTTGAGAGAAGTACTTGTTCCCCCTACCCCCCAGCAATTTCACTCTTGACACACTTGCCTACCACACATTTAAGAGAATCAAATACTTAGGTGACAGAAGCTCTTACTAACTCCCCAGGAGCTCTCTTCTACCCTACCAATTTCACTCTCCTGTCCACTTTGTCCTATGCCCGCCATCTTGCTCTCTCAATTCCCCTCTCCTCTACCCATGCACAGTCCTGCATGATCCAGACAAGGAGACAAGGCATGCCCTGACTCCTCCCACCCCCACCCTTATGCACAATGCCCTAAAGATGATAAGGTTTCTGCTCTGTTTTTGTTTTTCCTACAAGAATTCACGAGTTTGGCTTTTATCTTTTTCTCCTTAGTGAATCAGGGAAAGAAGCAAAGACAGCAAAGGAAAAAGCAGAAGCTGGAAGCCCTCACATATTAATATTTTGAGACAGTTACCTTCTCTAGACCTTAATTTTCAATCTCTGATAAAATTGGAATGATAATATTTACCTCCAAGGGTTATTGTTTTAACTTGTGTGTGAAGTGTCCAGCATAGTGCCTATCAGGGAGTAAGCATCCAAGAGGTGGAGGCTACATATTGGCTGTTAGTCATGTATTTTTAAAATATATATTGAGCACTTACTAGTATTAGGTGCTATGCTAGGCACTGAAGAAATATAAGTGAACAAAACAGACACACTCCTTGTTTTCACAGAGCTTTCATTCTGGAATAAAAATTCACAAAAGCATGCTTGTATTTCGAGGCAATCAAAAGGATAGGAGGGACAGGAGATGTTGGTAGTCTTTTTTAAAATGTGGGGTCTGACTAAAATCATCCTGCTACTTTTTATCAAATATCCACTTATAAATCATTCCTCCTTGTTTTTTTCCTAAACTATATTTCACTTTTTTTTTTTTCCTTTTTTCAAGCCCTAGAAAACCTTTTTTCTTGTAGTCTAACTAGGGCTCTACTGGTGGTTTTGTGACTATCTACACAAGATAACTAGTGAAAGCAATGAAGAAGTATCGTTAGCTTCAGAGGCCTGTCCTTACTTCTCTGTCTCAAGGGGAGCTCCTCTCTGAAAACTTTCATGAATAATTCAAGAAGCTATTTCAAAGGCACTAATAACCTCAACAGTTAGAAATAGGTCAGAAGAAGAAGGTGAAGGAGGAGGAAGAAGAAGTACAGGAGGAGGAGGAGGGTGGGGAAGAAAGAGAAGGAAGGAGAAGGAGGAGAAAAGGAAGAAGAGAAAGAAGAAGGAGAAAAAAAAGAAAAGAATTACTATGTCTCTTATTGTACTAATGTACTCATTAAACTGAATACCAGGGTGCCTGGATGGCTCAGTTGGTTGAGCCTCCAACTCTTGATCTCAGCTCGGGTTGTGACAGCAAGCCCCGCATAGGGCTCCAAGCTCAGCAGGGAGTCTGCTTCAGGATTCTCTCTCTCTCCCTCTCCCTCTGCCCCTCCCCCCCATGCTCCCTCTCTCTCTCTCTCT